ACTTTAAATTTGAGTTGTAAAGTGTACATATTAAAGTTTTCTAAAACAGTAAAAGTATACTTATTTCAGTTGGAAAGAAGGATTACGTCGTCTCTTTAAAAGTGATTTTTTTAAAAACCATGATTTTAACAGATTTGCATCAAACTTTTCTATCTCATTCATGCACACAAACTCCCACTCTTAAAATAATAAGTATATTACCAAGAATATGGATTTCATTGATTTGAAATTAATATCATTTATGCCATGGAAAGAGTTATGGTTTAATGAAAAGAGAGGGTCTTTAAAGTCAGGAAGACCTTGATTCCACCCCCAATTGGACATTTACTTGATGTTTGACCTTGGCAGGGTTCTTAGTGACTGACTGTCCTTTGCCTTGGTCTGGTTGTCTGTAAAATGCCAGTAACATCTGCTTCATGGGGTTAGATGACATAATGCACCTAAAGTGCTGGCAAAGATTAGTGGTTGAGTGAATGTTAGGATTTTCCCCTTTCCCCAAGATAAGTAAAATATTAACTAATGTACTGGTTAATTATGGGCCTAAAAATTTTCCCATTTGCTGCTTTCAAAAAGGAAGACTGGCCAAGAAAAATCTAGTATCAGTCAAGAAAATGCCAAGTGAATACTTGGTTTCTTCAAATGCACAAGAATTACCCAACCTCCATTCTGTGTGCCTTTTCAAACTCTGATGACCAAGTTAAAAAAAATACTTCTGGAATCTCAATAGTAGACTATTTCTTTGAGTTTTATGGGATAGTCGCTAAATATCAAATTCTTTAAAACAAGCTTCTCTTTTGTGATGAACTTAGCATGAAAAAGGAGCATGAGAAAAATGTGATTGCTTAATTCAGATATCAGTTATTTGCCTTTTTTAGAAAACAGCTTTGTTGAGGTATAATTCACCTACCACAAAAGTATGCAGTTCAGTGTGTTTTAGTATGCTTAGAGTTGTGCAGCCATTGCTACAATATAATATATACTTGTTACCCTAAAAAGAAACGCATGTCTTTAGTCACCACCCTCCAATTCTCCTGCCCTACTCCAGCCCCTGCAAGTTGCTAGCCTATTTTCTGTGTCTATGATTTTGCCTACTCCTGATATTTTGTAAAAAATAGGATCATATAATGTATGGTCCTTTGTGACTGTGTTCTTTCAGCACTTTACCTGTTAATACTTTGTTTGGAGAACAAGTTGGATCTGCCACAGGTACTCTATTAAAGGTTTTGTTTCCCCTGAACAATCAATAGATAATACCAGTTACTAAACTTCACATGGTTTTTATTTTTTAAAAAGATTTTATTTCTTTATTTTTAGAGAGAGAGGAAGGGAGGGAGAAAGAGAGCCAAACATCTATTGGCTGCTTCTCGTAAGTGCCCCAACCGGTAGCAACCCGCAACGCAGGCAGGTGCTCTGACTGGAAATCACACCAGGGACCTTTCGCTTTGCAAGAGGATGCCCAACTCAGCTGGGCCACACCCATCATGGCAAATATTTTTAATAGTTTTATTAATATAATACAAACTCCACATATTCAAAAAGTACAACTTGATGAGTTTCGACATAAGTATATACCCATAAAACAATCACCACCATCAAGATAAATGAACATACCCATCATCTCTGAAAGTTCTTTGTGTCCTGTTCTCCCCCATGTGATCACCTGGTTGTTACTTAAAAAACAAAAATGTATTAAATGAGATAATATTTCAGAGCAGTGTAATGATGAGAGACAGTATGTATGGAAGCTAGCTGCTGGGTTACCTTGTATGAATGTTGTGACTTCTCTAATTTTTTGTTTTCTCACCAGTAAAGTGGAGATAGTTAGTATACCTACCTCCAGTACTGCAGTTGGTATTAAACTAAATTTTTTTTTGTTGTTTTTAAACTTGCCTGCAGCAGCCTTTATTTTTTGATTGATTTGAGAGAGAGAGAGAGAGAGAGAGAGAGAAACATTAATTTATTGTTCTGATTGGGTATCAAATCTGCAGTCTTGGCATGTTGGGATGGTGCTCTGAGCTACCTGGCCAGGGCTAAACTAAAAATTTTTTATGAAGTTAGTACATTGTATAGTATGTAAGTGCTCCATAAATGGTAGCTATTGTTCATGTTATTTTGTGCTACACTAAAGCACTTGATATACAGGATGGGGCAAAAGTATGTTTACAGTTGTTTGTATGGAAAAATAGTACAATCATAAAAAATAAAAGAACTCTGTGTTTTGTATACTCAACAGCTGTAAACCTCCTTACCCTGTTTTAGATAATTCATCATTATTAGGTGCCTAATAGAAAGCTTGACATATGGTAGGTACTCAGTTTTATATTCATTGACTCTTTTCTCCTTATTCTTGGTAAGTACACCATATGGCATGTGTTATTGTTCACTAATCCTGACTACTAACTTTGATAACTGACTTGAAAAATTTACATTCATTCATCAATTCATTCATTCACTCATTCATCCAACTAATTTTATTAAGCACATATTGTATTTAATCATTGAACTGGCACTGTGAGTGATTCTTAGTTGAATAAGACACAAAATACATCTGTATACATTTAACCGGGGTATAGGACAGAATTTTCATAGTTGATGCATGAACAAAGTTGCATAGAAGTTGAGAGGCAGGAGTGATTGCTTCCAGCAGTGGACCCCCAGGGATGGTCTTACGAAGCGTGTGCATTTGATTAAGTACTTACAAGGATGAGTAATGCGATCAGTATTATGCAGGGATCTCAAGATCAATCTGGGAACAGAGAGCAGTCCCGGCGTAGGTGGGACACAGAGCACTGCAGAGTTGAATGAAACAACTGGAAGGGGGATTGGGGCAGTCCAAACAGGCTTAACTGCTGCGCTGAGGTGAGACGTGTTTTGTCAAGCAGGAGAGTTATACCATAAGTAGACTGCTTTTGAGGTCGCTCTGGTGAATGGGTTGAGTTGACAGGAAGACAGCTGAGCAATCCGGAGGACTTTAAAGTGTCTGGATGTCACTTAGGATCTTAAGTAGGTTAGTAACTCTGAGAAAGGAAACAGGGAAAATGGAAGCTCTATAGAGTTGGTGGCCTGATTGGTTGTCAGGGTTGAGCTTTCTTCTCCTTTTGGAATGCTTGGTGGGTGCTTACAGTGTGTTAGGCACTTGTAATTCAGGCCCCGCGGCAGTGGCGTTTAGGTACAATTGTTATACCCATTTTTCAGATGAGGAAACTAAGACTTAGGGTGGCTAAGGGAAATGGTTGTCATCCTCCACATCATCATCCTGCTATTTCTCTTCTTCTGTCCAGGCCCTTTTCCCACTCAGATCATCTCTGTGACCTCTCAGTTCGCCTTCATCTACATCTCCCTCACCTGCCCTCTCTTGCCCCTTGCTCATTGCTGTCTCCTTTGTTCAGGTCTTCGTTTCAAGTCAATCATTGTGACACACTTTAAGGTCATCATGTTCACTCTGACAGTGTATTCTGTTGACAGAAATTGGATCATGTCTTTTTTATTTTTTAAGATGCTTTCTCATTGTCCCGGGGTAGAGTACGGCATTCAGGACTCTTAATATATTCTGATCCTTTGTAGATTTAGTTTGTCCCTTGCCCACAAACGCCAGTTCCATTTGTCTCTGTTCCTTTACTTGGGCACTTTCTTTACCTGACATGCCCTTCTTCCTTTTTTCCTGCATCACGAACTTCTCATCATTCTCCAAGAACTCACGGAAGTCGCTGTGTCTGTAATGCCTGTTGCAATAGGGCTCTTTCTTCTTCCTGTTAGGCTGTAGCATGGCTTGTGTTTAACGTAATTATCCACTACCAAACCCTTTTCAAGATTGATTTGCAGCAACTTATAAAAATACATGTAGCAGTAAAAAATGGATGAACATGTAAGAGCAAGTGGACTATGGAGGATAGACAAATAAAATCAAGAATAAAATTAGTATAGAAATATGTTCGATCATGGCCTGCACATTGCTGAAGCTGCAGCTTCAGCTTTTACTCTGAACATCCTTGTCCAAGTGAAAAGGGAAGCATGAACTGAGTTTTCCCAGTGACAGCCCAATGCATGAAGCCAGTTTTTTCTGGTGAAGAGCTTTTCCTGTTACTAAGAATTAAGAGAAATGTTTCTGGGGTGAGTGGGAAGGTATAGGTGAAGGTGGTACTAAGCCAGGTATTGTAAGGTGACTTCGTCAGAGACTTCGATGCAACTTGATAGCATGACACCAAAGCATAATTCATAAAAGCAGTTTTATAACATTCAGAAGTGTGATCCCAAAACACAGCTGCTTCTTGGTCTAGCCTAATCCAAGAAAAAAAATGTAGAACAACCAAAGGAATAACATCACATTTTGTTGTAGTTATTGTTTTACATACATTTGTTTACTGCTAAAAGTGATCACCTTTTCCCCGGCAGGGACCATGTTTTGTGCATTGGTTTGATCAATGGCAGAACACCTTAAAAGAAAGAATGAGTAGAACCATTTATAATTGTGATCTGCCCAAGAATCCTTACAGTGCTCTGCTTCGAATTCTGTGTACTCAGAAAGCCAGACTCATATCTGAGATCCACGATTTATAAATGAATGGTTGTAAGTTTTCCTTAACTGTTTCCAAGGACTGACCTGTGCCTAAGACAGTTCTCAAGCAAATGTGCCAGCCAGCTGAAATGTCAACGGCCAACTGAGTGCAGCTAGGTTTGTCTACTACTAGTACTTACAGAAGAGAGCCTTGGAAAACTTTTAGTACATTCATCAGTGCCCCAAGTTTTAAATTTAATTTTCCCTTTGTCTATTGCATTTGGGGCTAAGAGGGTCTTATATTACTATATTGTCATGAATAATGAGGCCGATTCAGAAAGAAGTATGCATTTTCAAGAGAAAAGCAAGAATAGTAAATTTATTGAATGACTTCAGTTCTCCCCAAATAGCTCTTATTTTTTAAATTTATATCAAATAAGTTTTGCAATGACATAATACCTTTTCATTTTTTCTAATGGCTACTTTTCTTTCTTTATACACATAGGAACTTGATAAAGAACTCCCAGTGCTTAAGCCATATTTTATTGATGACCCTGAAGCAGCCGGAGTGAATGAAGGTGGCTTAAGAGTCACATGGCTGGGACATGCGACAGTAATGGTAGAAATGGATGAGCTCATATTTCTCACGGACCCCATCTTTAGCTCTCGTGCTTCACCGTTGCAATTCCTGGGTCCAAAGCGTTTTCGGCATCCCCCATGCACTGTAAGTGAACTCCCTCCAATAGATGCGGTCCTTATCAGTCACAACCACTATGACCACCTGGACTACAATTCTGTCATTGCTTTGAATGAGCGATTTGGTAATGAGTTGAGGTGGTTTGTGCCATTGGGTCTCCTCGACTGGATGCAAAAATACGGCTGTGAGAATGTGATCGAGCTGGACTGGTGGAAGGAAAATTGTGTCCCTGGACATGATAAGGTCACCTTTGTCTTTACACCTTCCCAGCACTGGTGTAAAAGGACCCTAATGGATGACAACAAGGTTCTGTGGGGCAGCTGGTCTGTGTTGGGCCCTTCGTGTCGATTTTTTTTTGCAGGAGACACTGGATATTGCCCTGCATTTGAAGAGATAGGAAAACGATTTGGTCCTTTTGACCTTGCAGCTATTCCCATTGGAGCATATGAACCAAGGTATGTGGACTTTCAAAGAAAACATTCCTACTTCTATTCCGTATAAGCTAACTGAACTTAAAAGTAAAGTAGTCATGATTTTATGAAACTGTAATATTTGTGATTTTAATGGTGGACTTTGTTATGTTTTGGGGGTTGGTGGGTCAGTTTCAATTAAAATTTTTAAATAGTTATATTAAGTAATTATTCAATACCAGAAATTATAATACCAAGAAAAAAGAATTTCTATATCTAACCCACGAGTCCACACACCATTTTGACTCCAGTTAAACTGATCAGCCAGTATCAAACCTAACTCTTGTTCCTTCTTTTACATGGAGGATACTCTCCTATAACCACTTGTTGCTCCATGACTGGAATGCACCCTGTCTTAAGCTTTCATGTTAACCAGAGGAAAGCCAGGGAATAGGCCTATAGTCCCTCGTGATGGTTTTATTTCACTTGGCACTGATTTTAATCTGGTAATGACATTATTGCATTACCCACCACTTGCCCTCCAACCTCTACATACTCACTTTTACTTCATAGCAGATAAAGGTGACACTAACATGTTCCACAGGAGACCCATCCACTGCCTTTGTTTTCCTTAATACTGTCTATTTAAGGAAAGGAAGTGATTTCAGTCAACTCACGTTGATATGTACAAGAGAAAATAAAAACAGTAACAAAGTAAGGATTAATTTAAAAAATGTTTAGCTTTGGCTAGGTGTCTCAGTTTGTTGAACCATTGTCCCATACACCAAAAGATGTCAGGTTTGATCCCTGGTCAGGGCACATACCTAGGTTGTGGATTTGTTCCCCGGGACATGTACAGGATGCAACTGATCAATGTTTCTCTTTCACATTTATGTTTCTCTCTCCCTTCTTTCTAAAATCAATAACGTATCCTTGAGCGAGGATTTTAAATCAACAAAGTTAGTTTTATTTTCTGATGTGCATGCACGGATAGATTGCTACAGTTTTTTGTATAACTTTCTTTAGGCAATCCTGCAAGCAGAAGAATGCTAATATGAATTGAGCAAATCTGATCATTGGTTTCCATCTGATTTTGTTTTACTAACTTTTTAAAAAGATGTTATTTATTTATTTAGAGAGAGGGGAGGGGAGGGAGAAAGAGAGGGAGAGAAACGTCGATGTGAAAGAGAAACATAGATCGGTTGCCTCTCCCATGTGCTGGCCCAACTGGAGACCAGACCCGCAAACCAAGCATGTCCCCTGTTTTACTTAGTTAACTTTCAAAGTTCACTAAACCATTTCTTTACTGCCTTTATTAATGTTTATTTCTTGCATTTATGTTTTTTTCTAGCTTCTTTAAAGGGCTGGATATTTTAACCTTATTTTAAACTATTCTTTATTTAAAAATTTTTTTTTCTTGTTCAAATACATTTGTCTCTATTTTCCTGCCACCACTTTCCCAGCCCCACCCACCCACCTCCCACCCTCAATCCTTCCCCACTTTGGCTTTGTCCATGGGTCCTTTATACATGTTCCTTGATTTGGCCCTTCCCCTTCTTTTCCCTGTTATCCCCCCCCGCTTCTTGTTACTGTCAGTTTCTTTTCTCTCTCTGTGTTGATGGTTATATTTTTTTCCTTGCTTGTTTTCTTGATTAGGTTCCACTTATAGGTGAGATCATATGGTATTTGTCTTTCATCCCCTGGCCTATTTCACTTAGCATAATGGTCTCTAGTTCCATCCATGCTGTCGCGAAGGGTAGTAGCTCTTCCTTTCTTTCTGCTGTGTAGTATTCCATTGTGTAAATGTACCATAGTTTTTTGATCCACTCATTTATTGCTGGGCACTTAGGTTGCTTCCAGCACTTGGCTACTGTAAATTGTGCTGCTATGAACATTGGGGTGCATAGGTTCTTTTGAATTGGTGTTTTGGGATTCATAGGGTATAATCTGAGCAGTGGAATTGCCAGGTCAAAAGGCAGTTCCATTTTTAGTGCTTTGAGGAAATTCCAATCCGTTTACCACAGCGGTTGCACCAGTCTCCATTCCCCCAACAGCGCACTAGGGTTCCCTTTTCTCCAAAACCTCTGTAGCATGTGTTATTTGTTGAGTTGTTTATGATGGCCATTCTGAGAGGTGTGAAGTGGTATCTCATTGTGGTTTTAATTTGCACCTGTCTGATGGCTAGTGGTGCTGAGCATCCTTTCATGTCTCTGGGCCCTGAGTATGTCCTCCTTGGAGAAGTGTCTGTTCAGGTCTTTTGCCTGTTTTTTAACTGGATTTTTTATCTTCTTTATATATTTTGGAGACCAAACCATTGTCCGAGGTATCACTGGCAAATATATTTTCCCATATGGTTGGTCCCTTTTCATTTTGCTGATCTTCTCTTTAGCCATACAGAGCTTCTTATTTTGATGAAGTCCTATTTGTTTATTCTTTCCTTTACGTCCCTTGCTCTAGGGGACATAAAAGTGAAAATACTGCTGTGTGGAATACCTGAGAGTTTTCTGCCTATGTTCTCGAGGACTTTTATGGTGTTGCTTCTTATATTTAAGTCTTTCATCCATCTTGAGTTTATTTTTGTGTATGGTGTAAGTTGGTGGTTGAATATCAATATTTTGCAAGTAGCTGTCCAGATTTCCCAACACCATTTGTTGAAGAGGCTATTTTACTCCATTTTATGTTTCTGCACCCATTGACCAATATTAATTGCCCATAGAGATATGGGTTTATTTCTGGGCTCTCTATTTTGTTCCATTGATCTATGTGTCTGTTCTTATGCCAGTACCAGACTGTTTCGATTACAGTGGCCTTGTAATGTAGTTTGATGTTAGGTATTGTGATCCCCCTACTTTGTTCTTCTTTCTCAAGATTGCTGCAGCTATTCAGGTCATTTATGTTTCCATATAAATTTTTGAAACATTTGTTCTCTATTTGTGAAATACATCATTGGCATTTAATAGGGATTGCATTGAATCTACAAATTGCTTTGGTATGGACATTTTGATGATGTTAATTCTTCCAATCCATGAACATGGTATATGCTTCCATTTATTTGTGTCTTTCTTAGTTTCTTTCTTCAGTGTTGTACCATTTTCCACATACAGGTCTTTTACCTCCTTGGTTAAGCTTATTGCTAGGTACTTTATTTTTCTTGTTGCTATAGCAAATGGGATTTTTCCTCATATTTATGATTCTAATGTGTCATTGTTGGTGTACAAAAATAACTTCGATTTCTGAATATTGACTTTGTATCCCATTGTTTTGCCAAATTTACTTATAGGCCAAGTAGTTTTATGGTGGAGTCTATGGGGTTTTCTATGAACACTATCATGTCATTTGCAAACAGTGACAGTTTTACTTCCTCTTTTCCAGTTTGAATGCCTTTTATTTCATTTCCTTGTCTGATCGCTGTGGCTAGGACTTCCAATACTATGTTGATTAGAAGTGGTGAAAGCTGACAGCCTTGTCTTGTTCCTGATCCTAGTGGAAAGCTTTTAGTTTTTGCCATTGAGTATAATGTTGGCTGTAGGTTTTTCATATATGGCCTGTATTATGTTGAAGTATGACCCATTTATTCCCACTCTGCTGAGTGTGTTTATCATAAATGGATGCTTTACCTTATCAAATGCTTTTTCTGCATCTATTGAGATGATCATGTATTTTTTTTTGTCTTCCCTTTTGTTTATGTGATGTATTACATTTATTGATTTGTGAATATAGAACCATCCTTGCATCCCTGGGATGAATCCCACTTGATCATGGTGGATGACCTTTTCAATATATTGCCAGATGCGGTTTCCCAATATTTTGTTGAGGGTTTTAGTTTCTGCGTTCATCAGCAGTATTGGCCTGTAGCTTTCTTTCTTTGTTGTGTCTTTATCTGGTTTTGGGATTAGGATGATACTGGCTTCATAAAAAGAGTTTGGGAGTCTTCCCTCTCCTTGGATTTTTTGGAATATTCTGGGAAGGACAGGGATTAGCTTTTCCTTAAATGTTTTGTAAAATTCTCCTGTGAAACCATCTGGTCCACGGCTTTTGTGTGCCAGGGGTTTTTTGATTACTGCTTCAATATTACCAGCTGTTATCAGACTGTTCAGGCTTTCTACTTTTTCTTCATTCAGTGTTGGAAGGTTATCTTTTTCTAGAAATTTGTCCATTTCATCGAGGTTTTCAAATATCTTGGCATATAATTGTTCACAGTAATTTCTTAAAATCCTTTGTATTTCTGTGGTATCAGTTGTAATTTCTCCTCTTTCATGTCTGATATTATTTATTCGGGTCCTCTCTCTGCTTAAAGTCCTGTTGATTTTATCTTTTCAAAGAACCAGATCCTGGTTTGGTTGATCCTTTGAATTGTTCTTTTCATCTCTATGTCATTCAGTTCTGCTTTGATCTTGATTATTTCCTTCCTTTTACTTGCTCTTGGCTTTGTTTGTTGTTTCTCCATTTTTTGAAGATGTAGGGTTAGGTCGTTTATTTGAAATGTTTCTATCTTTTTTAGGTAGGCCTGTATTGCTATGAACTTACAGGGTTGCCTTTGCTGTGGCCCAAAGGTTTGGACTGTTGTGTGTTCATTTTCATTTGTTTCCAGAAACTTTTTGATGTCTTCTTTGATCTCATTATTGACCCATTCATTGTTTAATAGCATGCTATTCAGTCTCCATGAGTTGAAATATTTGAGTTTTTTCCTTAAGGTTGGTTTCTAGTTTCAAGCCCTTGTAGTCTGATAAAATGCTTGTTATGATTTCAATTTTCTTGAATTTGTTGAGGCTTGTCTTGTGTCCTATCATGTGGTCTGTCTTTGAAAATGTATCATGTGCATTTGAAAAGAATGTGTGTTTTGCTTCTTTGGGATGTAAAGTTATATGTATGTCACTTAAGTCTAGTTAATCTAATGGGTCATTCAGTTCCACAATATCCTTGTTGTTGTTTTGTTTGAAAGATCTATCCATTGTTGACAGTGGGGTGTTAAAATCCCCTACTATCAGTGTTTTGCTGCCTATATCTTTCTTGAAGTCCTCCAAGACTTTCCTTATATATTTGTGTGCTCCTATGTTGGGTGCATATAGATTTACAGTGTTTATCTCTTCTTGATGAATTCTTCCTTTGAGTATTATGAAGTGTCCTTCTGGGTCTCTTTTTATGGCCTTTGTTTTGAAATCTGTTTTGTCTGATATAAGTATGACTACCCATGATTTTTTTCTTGTCCATTTGCTTGGAATATATTTTTCCATCCCCTTACTCTCTGTCTGTGTAGATCCTTTGTTCTGAGGTGGGTCTCTTATAGGCAGCATATGTGTGGGTCATGTCTTCTTATCCATTTAGCTACCCTATGTCTTTTGATTGGAACATTTAATCCATTTACATTTAAAGTTAATTATTGATAGGTATTTATTCATTTTTTCCCTTTTTATGTGAGTTCCTCTCTTTCTCACTCTTTTTCTTCATCTTCTTAAAGCAGTCCCTTTAGCATATTTTGCAGTACTGGTTTGGTGGAGGTGTATTCTTTTAGCCTTCTTTTGTCTGGGAAACTTCTTATTTTGCCTTCCATTTTAATTGAGAGCCTTGCTGGGTAGAGCAGTCTTGGTTGCAGGCCTTTGCTTTTCATTACTTGGAATATTTCTTGCCACTCCTTTCTGGTTTGTATTGTTGGTGTTGAGAAGTCAGCTGTTAGCCTTATCGTGTTTCCCTTGTGTGTTACTTTCTCCTTCTCCCTTTATGCCTTTTAAGATTCTCTCTTTGGCTTTGGTATTTGCCATTTTTATTATGATGTGTTTGGAGTGGGCCTCATTGGGTTCCTCTTGAATGGGACCCTCTGTGCTTCCTGGACTTGTGTGACTTCTCTCCTCAAATTAGGGAAGTTTTCCATCATTACCTTTCCAAACAGGTTCTTTATCCCTTCCTCCTCCTCTTCTCCTTCTGGTATCTCTATTATATGGCATTATTATGTTTCAGGTTTTCTTGCATTTTCCTACACCTCTTCATTCTTTCTGAGTCTTTTTTCATTTTCTTGCTCTTTCTGGGAGCTTTTTTCTATCTTATCCTCCATCTCACTGATTCAATCCTATTGTATTATTTTAAATCAGTAAGAGTGTTTGAATTTCACTTTTCCACTTATTTCTAATTCTGAATTCTAATAAACCTCTCAAAACATCAGTTAAGGTGTTCATAAATCAGTTTCATATGATGTTGATATTTACTCAGTATATGTTTGTAACATATTTGAATCTCATTTGTAATTATAAAAGTTAAGTTTTCATATGTAGCAAAATATAAATTTTTCATATATATGTGATGATTTAATATGTACATCCAGATACACAGATTCACTTATGCAATTTTCCCTTTCTGCTTGTATTACAGCTGTCTTGTTATTGAGATGGTAAAAGGATGGGGAGGACATTATTTGCTCTACGAGATTTACATTGTAGTAGTCTCTATTGTGTAATCTCTGCTTAGTATTAACAGTTTTAGAAGTAACTCTATAAATTTCAGATGATTATACCAAAAATGACTTTCAACAACAGGCTCGGAATGTCATCCCTACTTGGGGAATTATTCTGTCCAAATCGGTCGGTTATAAGTCTTTACTGTAACTTTACACCACAGTAAAAATTGTAGTTATTTCCAACAGACTTGAGGGTAGAAAGGAGTATGTCTATCTTTTGATTTGCAGTAGAGGTTTTTAAAAAGTAAGCAGAAAGACCAATAATTGTATTCTGTGTAATGAGCTATGGAGAACAGTGCCTCTCTTATCTGCTGCCCAGAACACAGTGGCTCTGTTTCTAGGCTCCCGAAGGGCTTGGCAACACCTACTGTACGTAACAATCCTGTAGCTGTTTCCATGATGTGTTTTGTAATGTACAGAAGCACCTGTGCTGAGTCCATACCCATTAGTCTTGACTGCAGCAGTACTTGGCAGTAGCAGACCTAGGATATAAACAATGTGAAGACAATGTTGTTTTTCCTCTTCTAAACTGATGGCTGGGAAAGCAAAGGACTTGCTTGTAGATAGTACACTTTCCCTTTGTATGGGTCTTTCTCCTTAAAGTGTACCGTGTTCTTTCCAAGGCATTAGGTGGCCTTTCAGTGTTTCTGCACTCTAATTAGTCCCCCTCATGAACCATCTCTTCTTGTCCAACCAGACACCTCACTGTTCAGTTGTATGCTGTTTAAATAAAATCCTTGAATAGTAATGGGATATTTTTGCTGCAGATCTTTACATATTATACACTAATTTTTGTTGGCTTTTCACTTAATCAAGTTTTAAAAGAATTTGTTTGAGCACATTATTCAGGTTCTTTTCAGTTAGAATTTTAGTTTCTAATTCTTTACCCATTGTTTTGATGCTTTCCAGGAGTGTAAAATATCTACATTTTAAAGTAACAGTAAGACATATCTTCAGGATACCTGTATTTTGCCATGCATAATATGCACCCACATTTTTGGCCCAAACTTTCAGGGAAAAAAAATCTTTCATTTTAATTTTTAAATCCAATTGTTTATTTATTTATATTAAAAAACAAAACCAGTTATTGTATTCCAGGGTATTATTCTGCATACAGATATTTTTATTGCTTTCTACAGTTACACTTTTAACACATAAGCATAAATAAAAGAATTAAAAACATTTATATAGGTATGGAATTAGTACTACCCATATATAATGTGCACTGTTATTTTTTCCTCAAATCTGGGCAAAAATGTACTCATTCTATACAACAAAATACAGTAGTAAGTCATCAGTAAAATAAAAATAAACATAACACAAATCTTACTATTTAAAAGGAAGTTTTGCTTGATATTTACCTATTGTGCAGCAGTTGATACATGAAATATTTTTGCTTAATTTTTTCTTAATAAAAGTAGACTCAAGAGGGATGGTTTTGCTTACTATGATTTATTCCTGTGCAGAATCTTAAAAGTTTAATTAGATGAAGCTCTTGTTATATTGGGTTTCCAAAAAGTCCATTTAGTTTCTTCCATAAAATCAAAGATACATTTTTCATTTTCACCAATAACTTCATTGATTTGGCTATTTTGAGTATGTTGGCTATCTCCTTCTATTGGTCTAGTGAGGCCAGGGGTGCTGCTAAACATCTTCCAATGCATAAGACAGCCCTACAGCAAAAAATTGTTTGGCCAAAATGTCAATAGTACCGAGAAACTTTGTCAAGCACTTTTGACACCTTCGATCAGTGACAGCACCTTCTCCATACACTGCACAAATCTTTCTTTGTGGTTCAGTTGCGTTTTTATCTTTCTTGATAATAATAAAGCATAATATGCTGAGAATGTTGTGTATTTTCTTCCATCTTCAATGGCTGCACAAAAATTCATCAGTTTTTGTAAGTTTTTAAAAAATGCACGCTGATATGACAGCTGTCACAGTAGAATCTAACAAAATTTCTTTGAATGATGTTAAAGACAACTAAGCAATACTAGAGCCATTGTACAGAAAAAACTAAATGAACTTTTGGGCCAACCCAGTATATTTCAAAGGTTAGAATTAATAAGCTGCTGTGTTTAATCAGGTGGTTTATGAAATACCAGCATGTAGACCCAGAAGAAGCTGTAAGGATTCATGAAGATGTACGAACAAAGAAATCTGTGGCCATTCACTGGGGAACTTTTGCCTTAGCAAATGAGGTGAGTTTGTGATAAAATTAACCGATTCTGTATTTGACCTATGATGGATTCAGGCATCACTGTACTTGGCAGTGTGTTCAGAGATCAAACTGGAATCAGAACCTGCTTGATTCATAGTCATCACATGAAGTGGTAAATCTTGAATTAGTAAAACAATAGTTATATAGTGAAAAAAACCCACCCCTCATTGCATGCTGTTCTTTTGGCTTATTTCTACAGGTAATGAAGCATGTGTTTCTATAATAAAAAATGTGTGTGGTCTTGGGAAACAGAAATAAGAATTATTGCATCTTCTCTCTCAAGGAGCCTTTTGTTCTAGTGGAACATGTAAGACACGTACAGAGTATCTTTGAAACAGGTGTCTAAAGGGGTAAATGGTCTCAGAGATGGGGTGTTACTGATTGGAAGGATCAGGGAAAGCTTCATGAAGAGATGACATTTGAAGCTGGCTATGAGAAGGCATTTCAAGGAGGTAAAGGCAAGAGTATAGGATCAAAGGCTGCAAGCATGGGGAATAGTGAGGAATTCTGTTCAGCCAGAATATGGGAGTCATATGGAGGGCAATGGAAGAAGTAAGGCTGGACAGCTTGGAACTTTTTAGAAATATTTATCCAGTAAACATTGATCCAGTGTCTTCTGTGTGCCAGGTGTTGGGATAAATGGTATTTTTACTCCTAGACTAATATAGAAGAGTTGCTTTTTTTTTTTTTTTTCTCCTTAAGGTAGTAGAACCCTAGAACTCTGCTATTAGCCAGTTCTGGGATCAAGCAGGATAGAAGAAAGCCTTCTCTTCTTCCCTGGATCCAGGGCCTATCCTTAGCAAAATCTAGAAATGGATGGTTGGCTTTTACTTTGTTTTATGTGGCATCTTCCACATCCCAGGGCAGGAACCCCATTTTCATTCTGTTTTAAGTACTTTCTTTCTGTTCCTTCTGGCCTGCCTTTTTCCTAGGTTGCAGCTTGTTCCGAAACTACCTAATACACTGCCTTCCCACTTCCTACTCCCTCCAGTCAAAATTCACATATCATGATGCAGCAACCCTGAGCTACGCTGTTGAGAGATGGAATGGAATGAATGAGCACAGGGGTGGGGAGGAAGAATGAGAATGTGTGTCTGTTACTTGGAGAAGGGGGAAGTTTGATATTGGTTTCCACTGGTATACCACTATATTTGGTGGCATTCCTTATTCCACCAAATATGTGTGTGTTCCATATATAGATATAAGTATATATATATGTTCCATATGTAATATATACCAGTGACTTCGATGAAGTATTTTATTAAACTTGTGCAAAAAAGAGGAATCTAGGATGACTCCTAGATTTTTACCTTCAGTGACTGGAGACAGTTGTGCTCTTAACTGAGATGGGGAAGATGAGAGAACAGAAAACCCCAGTCTTCAAGAGTTACTGTGTTATTCAGCCTTCAAGAATTATTTCTGTTGAAAATTTAACTTCCATCTTTATTTCTTAATGAAACATGATAAAAATTCACGTTTAGCCGTAGCAATTTGGAATTTGTTCACATTTTGACATGAATTGCATAAACCTCACGATCACAAGTTTGTTCAATTATAAAATAGATACAATTTTCGGGGAGGATGTTTGCCTGATTTTTAAGCACTTTAAAACAATTTGCATGTAAGTAGTTATACTAGCTGCTTATTATAATATAAGCAGATTAAGAACATCCTTAACTCAGCAACACTTTGAAATTATGCATATCGCAACATCCAGTTTATCTAGGAAATGATGAGTGGATTTCCTAGATGATGTATTTAAGCACTAAAATGTAAAACAACTCAGTTTTGGGGGAAATGAATTTTAGGCATTATGAAACATGTTAACTTTTCAAATGACCAGGGTCTTCATTTTGAATATCTTCTATTGCAGTAGATCACAACATATACCCCTTAAAAGGACACGTACTGTTGCCTTCCTCTTACCGTCTAGAGGCTGGGAGCTTCTGCTTCCACCACTTATCTCTTATTTATCTCTAATTTGCTGTCTTGCTTTATACATAGTTGCTTGGTCCGAGGACTGTGGGGTATTTTTAGCCTCCTTTGCTTGAACTATGAGATAAAGCTTTCAGTCACTCAGATGGCTTTCCTGCCTTCTTCTAGGCCTATCTTCTAGATGATTGAAATGGCCAAGAATTGACCTATGAAGAAACTCTCATATTTTAGCATTGAAAACTGTACTACGTTATAGTTTAGCAAATAAATTATTAGTGTAGGGTGATTGTGTAAGTGTATTGTTGGCTAAGACTTGTAGAGCATTGGGGAAACTAATAAAACAAATTGTTATTTTAGTGGGAAAGAATTTCATCATTTTGAAATCTCAAACTAATATAGTTTTGCAAGGGCAATTTCTTGATTTAGGTTATGACTTAAAGTTACAGTTTATTGGTGATATATTAACAATCTCCTATATGCATAAAAAAAGACTAAAAGTAGCTTTCTGTTGGCAACCAATGCATTAATAAGTAGTTATCTGTAGGAATTGTTGGTAACCAATGTATACTTAAAACCTAAGTTATTCAACACTCAGTGGAAAGGCATCCCTGATGCCCCTAACATAGCCATAATAAACCTAGAAGTAAGGGTGGGGGGGCAGAGAAGAAAAACTGTATTTCATTTTTGCTATTGTGTAGCCACCGAACTGTGCAGCCATTGAAGATGGAAGAAAATACACAATAACTGTTATGTTTGCTACAATAACTGTTAGCAAATATGTGCATTTTAAGTCACAGAAAACTTTCCTGGTTTTTCTAGTACATCACCAGCTGTCACTTCTTAGTCTCTGTTGTTCCTCATTTATGCTCTCTCTGAACAGTGAGTGCCATAGGACTCAGTCCATGGACCTCCTCTCTAGCTGGTTACTCCCTTGGGGTTTTCATCAGTCTTACGGCTTTAAATACTACCTATCCATTGTACCTCTGTAAATCAGGTGTCCCCTCTACTATAATCCATATTTATATTTCCAACTGCCTTAACATGGGTACCAAACCCTAAGTCCAAAACCAAACTTCCTGATTTTCCCTCAAATTTGTTTCTCTTACATCTCAGTAAACAGCCATTCCCTTCTTCCAGTTGCTCAGGCCAAAACCTTGATTTGCCTTTCATATCCTCCATCCACTTTTTCCCCACATGCAGTTAGCTCAACCTTCAGATTATATTCAGACTTTGACCACTTCGCACCACGATCACTGCTACCACACTGCCGAGGTCAGTGACCTTTATACCTTGAATTAGATCACGACACTCCTCTGCCAGAACTACCTAGTAGCTTCCCATCAAACTCAAAGTCGGAGGAACAGATCTCACAATTGCCTACAAAGTCCTGTGCATTTTGCTCAAGTATTTGTTCAAATGTACCCTTCTCAAAGAGAACATTGTCTTTTTTTAAAAAAATTTATGCTATTACAATCATCCCAATTTTTCCCTTTATCTCCCTCCTCAAAGTCCCTGCCTTCCCACAGTCAATCCCCACATTGTTGTTCATGTCCATGGGTGACGCATATATCCTTTGACTAATCCCTTTACCTTCTTTCAACCAGTTCCAGCCTCCCTTCTCCCCTCTTACACCTGTCAGTCCATGTTTCTGTGTCTCTGATTCTATTTTGCTCATTAGTTTATTTTATTCCTTAGATCCCTGTTATAAAGTATTTGTCCTTCATTGCCTGGTTTATTTCACTTAGCATAATAGTCCTCAGTTCCATCCATGCTGTTGCAAAAGGTAGGAGTTCTTTCTTTCTGCTTTGTAGTATTCCATTGTGTATATGTACCACAGTCTGTTTTTTTTTTATCCACTCATTTACTGATGGGCACTTAGGCTGTTTCCAAATCTTGGCTACTGTGAATAACGCTGCTATGAACATAGGGGTACATATATTCTTTTGGTGTTTTGGGATTTTTTTGGATGTATTCTCAGAAGTGGAATTGTTCTTCAGGTATATTGGCCTTTAGTTTTTTTTCTTTGTTGTGTTTTTACCTGGTTTTGGAATTTCTTGAATTTTTAGGAATAGTTTGAAAAGGATAGGTTCTTCTTTTGAGTGGTAAGATGCGCCTGTGAAGCTATTTGGACTATGACTTTTGTTTCCTGGGAGTTTTTTGATTACTGCTTCAATTGCACTAGTTGTTACTGGTCTATTCAGGTGTTCTGTTTCTTCCCGATTCAGTCTTGGGTGATTGTATTATTCTAGAAATTTATCCATTTTGCCCAGGTTGTCCAACTTCTTGGCATATAATTGCTTATAGTATTTTCTTAGAATCCTTTGTATTTCTGTGGTGTCAGTTGTTATTTCTCCTCTTTCATTTCTGATTTATTTGGATCCTCTCTTTTTCTTGATGAGTCCGGTTAAAGGGTCATCAATTTTGTTTATCTTCTCAAAAAATCAGCTGGATTCATTGAGCTTTTGAATTGTTTTTTTTAAGCTCTGTGTCATTTATTTCTACTCTGATCTTGATTATTTCCTTCCTTCTACTCCCTTTGGGCTTTGTTGTTGGTTTTTTACATTTTTAAGTGTAGGATTAGATTGTTGATTTGAGATCTTTCTGTCTTTTTGAGGTAGGCCTGTAATGCTATAAACTCCCTCTCCAGACTGTTTTTTCAGTGTCCTATAGGTTGTGGTTGTTCTGTATTCATTTTCATTTGTTTCCAGGTACTTTTTGATGTCTTTCTTGATCTCATTGATGATCCATTCATTTTTTAATATGCTATTTAGCCTTCATGTATTTGAGTGATTTTGAATATTTTACTGAGGTTGATTTCTAGTTTTCATGCCTCTGTGATCTGAAAAAATGCTTGATGTGATTTCAGTTTTCTTGAATTTAAGACTTTTTTGTGTCCTACCACGTGGTCTGTGAGAATGATAAATATGTACTTGAGAAGAATGTGTATTCTGATACTTTGGGATGAAATGTTCTGTAAATATTAATTAAACCCATTCATTCTAGTGTGTCATTTAAGGTCACTGTTTCCTTGTTGATATTTTTGTC